TGAAAGTGAAATTTAAAGAATTGGAAAAGGAAATAGTAATAAATGATAGGGGGCATGTTGGAAAAAAAGTCATTAATGTTGTATTAGAATTGTAAAGTGACTTATAATTTAGGACAAATTTTTTTGACAAAGTGGCTTATAATTTTGGACAAATTTTTTTGACAAATTGACTTATAATTTGGGACAAAGAGAGTAGTTTTTATAAGTCTTCTTCTACCTCTATCTATTTGACTTCTCACAATCTAATTTACTCTCCTTACCAAAGAATCTAGAGATCTTCTCTCTCCATGCCCAGACCACCTAAGTCTATTCTTCATTATTTTTTATACTATAGGTGCTACCTCAATACTCTCTCTAGTATTGTCATTTCTAATATTATCATGTCTAATCTTGCTACACATCCAACACAATATCCTTATCTTTACTAAACTTACTTTATTCTCGTGATGATTCTTAATCGTCCAACATTCAATCTCGTCCAACATCACAATTCTTACCGCAGTCTGATAAACTTCTTCCTTCGGCTTGAGAGGTACATTGTGTTACATAAAACTCCTAAAGCCTTCCATTATTCCAAGCACCTCACTTGAATTTGGTGGTTTACATCCCCTTTTAATTCTCAATTCTTTTGTATTATAGACCTAAGATATTTAAATTGTGTGAATTTTCGGATGATATGGTCTCAAACTTTCACCTCTTTGCTAGAAACGTTTTTCCTTTTGTTGAACTTACGTTCGACATGCTTTGTCTTACTTCTCCTTAGGTGAAAGCCATGTGTTTTTAAAACTCGTCTCAAACTCTCATTTAAATCCTCATTTGACTATCCAAGTAGGATTGTATCATCTACAAGAAGCACTTATCTCGGTACTATCTCTTGGATGTATTATGTGGGTACATTTAATATCAAAGTAAAAAGGTACGCTCTTAAGGTTGAACCTTGATGAAAACCTATTATAATGGGGAAATCTTTTGTCTCATCACTATTTGTTTTCACACTAGTTGATACCCCTTCATATATATCTTGAATATCTTAAATATATGCAATCCTAACCCCTTTCTTATATAGGATTCCCCACGAAGTATCTCTAGACCCTCCATAATAAACCTTTTCCAAGTAAATAAAAATTGTGTGCAATTATTCTTAATCCATCTGATACTGGTCCATCACAACATTAAAAATGCATTCATCAATCTAATTTATGTATTTGACCATTAATTGTCAAATAATCCTATATCTTTACTTAACTTTGAAGGTGATAAAAACACTAGAAACGTGTGTTTGAATTGTGTTGACCACTTAAAAAAATTTCTGGATGTTTTAAATAAATTCCAAGTCAATCACAAATATTGAAAGGTAAAGAGATAAGGGAAGAAAGGTTCACACACTAAATTTATCATGGAACAAGGTTTTAGAAAGTGAAATTTTGAACATGGAGTCTACGTTAAAGGCAACAGAGGTGAGAATTTACTGATCATTTGCCTTTATGAGGATGACCTGTTGGTTACAGGAAGTTGTGACAGAGACATCTATCACTTCAAATCTAAGATGAAGCTTGTTTTTGAAATGACTGATCTTGTCAAACTAGCATAATTCCTTCACATAGAATTCTTACATACCTCAATGTGAATGATCTTGCATCAAGCAAAGTATGCAAATGAAATAATGATAAATTTTAATATGGTTGAATGCAACTTTATAATCACACAAATTTGAAGTTTGGGAGATCATATGCAGGTGAAAAAGACAAGGTAGATGCTACCGTGTTTAGACAATTGCTAGGATCACTGAGATGCTTATGTCAAAGCAGGTCAGACATAAGCTTCATAGTAGGAATGGTGAGGAGGTGTATGAGCAATTTTCTTAGCACTCCATTGCTGCAAAAAAAATTATGAGATACATCAGTGGTACACTACATTATGATCTCAAGTTTACATTTGAAAAATATCGTGAAAGGCTTGATCTCAATGGCTACTCCTATGTTGGATCATGTGGTGATAGGATGGATAGGAGAAGTACAACTGGATACTTATTTAAGTTTCTATAAGTGCATGTGTCATAATGCTCAAAGAAGAAATAAATGGTGGCTTTATCCACTTGCGAGACTAATTATGTTGCATGTGTTGTTGTAGCTTGTCAAACAAATTGACTTCGATCCTTGTTGAATGACTTAATGATCAAGCTGGAAGAGTCAATCAAGCTACTGGTAGACAACAAACCAGTCATCAATCTAAATAAGAATCCTATTGCACATGGAAATAGCAAACATATATAAACAAGATTCCATTTTCTAAGAAATCAGGTCACATAGGGCAAGTTGAATGTTTCTGTATTGTCCAACATAAGAACAAGTGGTTGACGTGTTTACTAAAACAATATAAAAAAATGACGTTCATAAAGTTAAGAAGGGAATTTGGAATTATGGTTTTTTATAGAATGAATTAAGAAAGGATAATGAGATTAATTCAAGCATTTAGTAGTTTATAAATTGGTTAGTAGTTAGTTATGAATAACTAACTTATTTAATTAGTTTCTAGTTTTAGAAACTTTGTATAAGGCAATTAGTTACTTGGTGTGCAAGTATCTATTATAAATAACTATATGTTTTAATAATATTAATTCAATCTTTCATTCGATCGGTTTTTATACTCTCATTCTTTCTTTTTTTTTTCTTTTCTCTCTTCTCTCTTCTCTCTCAAATTGTTGTTCGAAGAGTTGAGTTTAAGTATATAGGAATGCTATTTCTACACTCTTTTTTATATTAAATACCTACATCGTATACACTATTCACCGTATTTATACAGTGAACAATATTTTTTTCAATAAAAAAGATTTTTTATGAACAGTACACGTGAGCAGTGTCCGTGAATAATGTCTTTAAAATAGTGAAACAAAGTTGATTAATAAAATGTAAAAAGTTTATTAATGAAGTGATGAAGTTGGTTAATAAACACTCAACTATTAAAAATTATTTTTAGTAATAAATTAAAGTTGGTTAATGAAGATATAAAGTTGGTTAATAAACATCTAGATATTAAAAATAATTTTTAGCAATAAATAAAGTTGGTTAATAAAATGTAAAAGATTGTTTAATGAAGTTATGAAGTTGGTTAATCATACAATTTTGTAACAATATCATTTAATTTAAAAATAAATAAAAAATATTTATTAAAATAATAATTTTTTATATTTTTTTTTAAATATATATATTATTGTTCTGGACTAGGCTAGGGGCTAACCCAGCGTCGGGCACGGTCCAATTCAGCTCATCGTCGGGGAGGACCCAATAAAGGTCCAATCCATCAGAGCACACGGGGAGCCCTCGCACGTCTCACCCACGGTCTCCACGTGCTCCCCACGCGGGGACACGTCATCAGACAACTACCCACCTCCCGAAGGTTACGGGGCAGTTGACTCAGGCGAAGACCACATGATATTCTTCCCTACGCCACGTAAGCCCTATCAGTTACTTGTGTTGGGACTAGCAATCAAACCCAGTGCAAAGTAACCGCTGGCTCAGCGCTGGAGGCACATTATAAATACCATATTTCACCAGAGGGTCAAGTATTCAATTCTCTACACACTTGCTCTGTACTTGCTCTTTTTACTCTGTCTCTTACTTTAGCATCAGAGTACCTTGCAGGTACACCCCTCCTCTTCTCCACCACCGGTGAATTGAAGAGTTCACGACATGTTGCTGATTACTGATGTTTTTCTGATTATAAGATCAATTATTATAATATTTCACTATTTACCGTATTGATAAACAGTAAAATGCAGTATAAATGTAAGAAAGTGGTGTAAGAATAACATTTTTGTTATGTATATTATTACCCCCTAATCTCTCAGGTTCATAACTCGTCTAATAAATTGTTTATATTTAATTCCTTATAATTTAACAATTTAACCAAAGCGTTAAGAAGAATAAACCCACTTGAAGAAAAAAAAAATCAAACTCACTCAAAAATTTTGGTAAATAAAATAAAATTTTTGATTTTTTTTTTTTAAAATTTCATTTTTATTGAAAATTTTGAAATTTCAATAAAAAAAATTGAAAATTTTTCAAAATTTCGGATATATATCACGAAATTTCCTATATACCCCTATAAAATTTATAATTTGAGAATTTTCGAAAAATTTTGAAAGAGAAAAATAGAAATTCGCCATAATTAGAAGGTGGCAAGTATAAGTGAGGGGTGTCAGATTAATTCCTCAATTTGTCATGTTTTTGAGCTTTTAGCATAAATTGTTCATTCTCAATAGCTAATTTTGGGCATGTTTTTTTCAGCTTTTAAAAAATAGATTTTTTTTTGTATTTTCAAAAATAGATATTACAAAATTGTTTTTCAAAATACTATAAAAAAAATTTATTCGTTTTTTCTACATTGGAAGATTAATTTAATATCTTATAACACAAACATATATTATTGAAGATTAAAAGACCGTCGAAATCGTAATTTTTTCAAAAAATTATATCTCAAAAATGATTTTTATGAAAATCTATTTAAAATAACTTCAAAGTGATATTTTAAAATTTTGATGTCCAAAAATTTTAATAAAATGATGAAATATCTAAAATAGCATTTCAAAAATAATTATTCAAACCAAATTTTTATTTGAAGCGTTTGTATAAATTTCTTTTACACAAAATTATGTTACATTATAAAAATTATTTTTTAAAAAAGACAAAACAAATAGGCTATTTATCTCTAATTTTCAATTGTGAATTTAAAACTGTAAATAATCTATATTTCATAAACAAACTCTTAAATAAAGTAAACCATGCATCCATATCAAAAGATAATTTCAAAATCATAGATTCAGGCAATTCCGTATATCTCAAACACTAAGAAAATTAAGCTATCGTAGTTTAAAATTAAAAACAAAAAAAAAACTGTTGAAATCATTTAGAGAGCTTAATCTTAAAATATATATACAAATCAAAGATTCATTAAAAGCAGTATTAGAATAAGTTGATAACTAGAAATGTTATAGGAGATCTCTAACCTAGATCAACCTTGGAAACATCAGGTAAATCATTAATAAGTTGAAGAACTAAATCTCCTGAAGATATCACTGCATCCAACAGTTGTCTTTGCTCCCTATCAAGTTTTGTTGTAGTAAGAATTTTAGCCATGCCAACAACACCAGAAAGTGGAGATCTTATCTCATGAGACATTGTTGCCAGCATTTGTTTTGCTCTCATTGTCTCCTCTATTACAAGGAATCAAGAAAACAATAAGCAAACAAAAATGTAATACATAAATTCATACATCAAGATCTGGCTTTTGAAATGACTAAACAAACCTGTGATGTAAATGGTTTTGTTAAGTTCTGTTTCCATTGCTTTCTGAACTGCAATTTCTTCTCTTAGCTTTGCCATTTTTTCTCTTTTTATCACCTGCAATTTTAAAAATCGACTTGTAAAATGAAAATTGTCCTCACTCATAAACATATATTCAGGTGATACCTCATCCAATACGAGACTCTTAGCACACGCTTTTTACGTTAAGAACTAGAAATCTGGTGCGTAACCTTATTGGCCTAATATCGGGTAACTCACATAGGCCACACTGAATGAGATATGGAATGTAAATGTGTCTATAAGTGGGGGAAGCCGGCCCTTGTCTTATAAATCGATTTTATAAGGATTGAGTTAAGCGCAGCCTAAACATTAAGACGGTGCAAGTACCTACGAAAACCAAAATAACAATTTTTACCTGATCTGTTACTTGCATTCCAATGTAGTTTACTCCAATTGTTTCTCCTGCCTTGCTAAACACAGGTTCTACATACATCAAAAATGTCTTTGATCCAAATAGTTCTGTCTCATAAGTTATTTCTCTTTTGGCAGGAAATCCTTTCTCCATTACTTCTCTCTTAAAATCTTCAGATTCCTTCACACCTGATCCCAAAAAGATTTCCTCCCCCGTTTTCCCGATGATGTCCTGCAAATTTATGAGCAAGTAAAGTAAATCATGAAGATGATTATAGAGTAGTTTCAGTATAAATGTTATGCACTTTTGGTTTACTTCAAAATCACAATGCAACTCAATCATATAACTTCAAAACAAGAGTCATTACCTCCTCTTTTAAACCTGGAAAATGATTATAGAGAAATCGATAGCGCAACTCTTTGTCCTGAAATTCATTACAATTGCAAACACAAATTTAGCATTCCAAATGATGAATCAGCTAAAACTACAACAAATGTAACCTGTAACACGGACACTTATGAAAAAATGTGTGTCCGTGTCTTTGTTGGACACCGAGATCGACACTTGTGATTACGTTCAATTTATTCATTTTTTAAATTATTATCGGTGTCGACGCGTCAATGTGGGTGTCCATGTCCTTGCTTCATAGATTGCACATAACAGAAGAAATAAACTCAATACTTGATGTAATAATATACCTGATGACCAATAACAAGAGGTGCATTTTGAAGTATAAAATGTAAGAAAGTTTCTTGTCTCTTAAGAATCTGTGAGACTCCCTCCACAGGTGAGGATTGTTTTTTAATATTCTCTACACTTTCTTGCAACATTTCCTTTAAGATCTCTTCTCTCTGAATACTTGCCTCTAACTGTCTTTCCAAGTCAATCGCCCGATGTTTCCAGTAACCTACGGTTTCAGACTCAGCCTCAATTTCATCTCTCTTGTTTTGAACAACACCGTGCAATATCGAAACAAGACGTTTGTCTCCACCGTAGCTTTCCTCCTTTTTAAGCTCAACTTTCTCCCTTTGTTTGCTAAGGTTGTCGAGCTCTTCTCGAAGAAGGCGAACTGCGTTTACTTGCTTATACTCCCAATGTTTCATGAGACAAGCTAACTGAGATGACCCTTGGTCTGTATAATTCGTAAGCACCATGAGTCTTTGAAAATCAGCTAAAACTGGTTCTTCTAAGATTGTTACATCTTCCAACACATCTATATCCATTCCTGGCTTTTCTATGTTGAACTGTTTTAACAATTGCAAAAATATTAACAAAATTAGATGATTGATCCTAATGGAAAACAAGAAAACAAATTCCATCATCACAAAGAAGCACAAAAATATAACTCTTGGTATTAAAATCAAACACATGGAATGCATAAAAAGAAAACCAATCTTACATTGCAGATCTGAGGAATCTCTTCCCCTTAGGAATCAAAAGCATTCAGTGGACACAACATAACTGAAACAAAACAAGTACTATAAAGAGGAGAGAGATTGAGAATAGACCTACAAGCACGTGCATTAAGAGGTAAAATATGAATGAAATCAACGCAAGCATGTGCATTAACGTTATTATATGTACAGTTTATTAGCAATGATAGTTAAATTAGTGTAGCTTGGTCTTATATAACTGAATCCCAATCATGTTTGCTCTTATATTTTGTAATGGAGAAATGCTCCTTTGACACCAAAATGTGACACTACACTAGAAAATCTTCTCACTATACCAGGATTTCTATTTTGATGATCATACAAAATTTCTAACGCATTTACATCCGACGGCTCTCCACACTTTTCTCTTAACAAACACTTTTCTCTTAACAAATAGCGAGTTTATTATTTTTTCTCTACTATATTGAAAAGGCCTCAAATTTAGAGAAAGTTTCAAATTCAATTTTAATTTATTTTTCTCCATTGCATACTGATTCGAGCGTGTCAGAGACTCATAACCACCATCACTTCCGATTTTCACTCTATTTTTTGTTCTAGTACGGAAGAGTATCTTCGGTAAGAATTGACTTTTTGTTCTTGCGTTCTCTACAATTCTCTATTTGTCTTCAATTCACTCGTTTTCAACCTTCTTCGGGTCACTGAATCAAGAGTCTCTGAAATCGAACACTAAAATGTGTTGCGTTCGATCCTATCAAGCATTATTTCAACCTCGATTCTTCGAGTTTTCAGATCTTTGACTCCTATGTTTTCGAGTAATGGATGAATATAACCGGCATTTGACGCTTTAAGCCCCGAGCCCTTTGATTTCGCAGTTTCCTTCTGTTTTTTCACTTCTGACAACCGAGACTCTGCAGCCTCCTTCTACTCTTTCACCTTTGATAGTTGTTTGGTTAACTCTTCCACCTTGTCGATTTGGACTTTCAAATCATCCTTCGGCTCGGTCATATCTTTGTTAAGACGTATTTCATTCTACTCATAAGCGTCACCTACTTAAAATAAACCCCGGATCATGACTGCACATCTCATCTCATCAAGTAGGCCCCAAAGTTTTGAGTCAACTGTTGAGCGCCTATGGTTTTTACCTTCTCGACATCCTCTCTTGCGTTTAAATGATCGTAAAGGTACTTTAGGCCATCAAAACTGTTGGATCAAAAATTAAATTCATTGGACGGTTGGATTAATGGTTGCTACCCGAGTCTTACATTAGGATAGTGATTGTCAAGTTGGTCCGACTGACATTATCATGCATCAGGGTCTTGATCTTCTTTGGAGAATTCGACTTTGATTCTCCGAAAGAAGGGATGGAAGCACTTTAGGGCTCTGAGACCGCAGTCGAAGCTTTGATGGTATCCATTTTCTTTCTTTTGAGAGTTCGCGTCTGGATATCCAAGAGATCACTCTTAGAAGCAGATTGTTCTCCACGTCTCGCTCTGCCTTCAGCTATCAGTTTCTTCTTCTCAGACAATTTGATGTTTGTCATGCTAGTTGGAAGGAAAAGAACTGAGCAAAGTTCAAAAATATAGAACAATAAGATAATCAAGGGATAATAAAAGGCGTCAATAAGCATTACCCAATAATTTAGAAATTTGTTCAGGATCATCGGACATATGTAGCAAGTCTTTAACTTTCACTACTCAGAAAGCATCCAAAACAATCAAAGATCGGATTTCCAAGGTGTTTAACTTATCATAGTCAAATTCGGAGATCAAAAGTGGGTTATCCAACCAATAGACTAGGAAACGGTAGTTTGCGTCCAAAGCATAAATCACTTGGGACACTTTTTCCCACTCTTCACTCGAAGGAACTTAATTATCCTTGAAACCTTTATAAATGATCGTATAAGCTTGAAGGAAGCTCTTCCCAGGAATTTCATTGAGACCACCTTTTTTTTCTCCCTTCATCTCAAATAACGAGAGAGAAAAAATCTAAGGTGGGGATTATGTCCACCGCCTCACAAACAAGTTTGAAAGCTTTAATAAAACCCCAACCATTTGCGAGTAATTTAGAATCAGCAATATTTAGGGTTTTTAGTAGGTCGGATTCAAAATCACTAAAGGGGATACAGACTTTGAAATCCTCAATCACCCCTGTATAAAAATAAAAATATTCATCGGACACTCCTTTTGACTGAGTAATATAGACTCTCTCACCAACCAAGCAGGGTTCTAACAACATATCCTCCTCATTCCCAGTGGAGGAAACTTGAATAGTAGAGTGAAGCTTTGAGATATAGTTGTCGTCAATGACACTATGGTCATAACTTAGAACCTCGTCATCAATCAAAGATCTTATGTTCTCCATCAAAATATCTATGAAACCTGATGATGAAGACTCTGAGTCAGTTTTACTATCAGGTGAGAAGATCTCACCATAATCTTCCCTAATAATCTGGTCAAACTACGCTCAACTCAGATGACCCTCAAATTCTATCATGCATTCATTCTAGATTTTACGTCTCTCATTAGTATTAAGAGAGTTAGAAAGCTTTCCTGAATCATCACAATATCTTACTATAATCATAATAAAGAATAAGAAAAGGGAGAGGAAAAAGGAAAAAAAACACCTGAGACTTGACCTTGTAGAAAAAAAGCTTGAATGAGGAGGCAAAAGAAACTTGTTAGCAACACTTGAAAGAATAATCATTTGCTTTGATAAAAAAACAAATGAAAAAAAAGTATTTTTATTGAAGCAAAACTTACAACGGTGAAGAAATTGTATCGGGTAGAAATAATGATGACAAATGAGAATCTCCATAAAAACACCATTGTGGCAAGGAGGGAGAAAGTCGGCTAGCAATTGTAACTCAACAAGTAAGTGATCGACATGAATTCCAAGACTTTCTTGTCCAAACACTTTAATCCAATCAAATCTCGTGATTAGGGGGCTTATGTACATCATGAAATTCCCTAGGTCTGAGCTTTTTCAAGCTGAGTATAAGAGCAAGCAAATCGGATGACATGATCTTAGGCAAGTCGGAGCTAGTTAAGGTAAAACAAGACCACCAAACCATAACAGGTCATATCCAGTCTCATTGTAACCACGACCGAGGAACAAGTCGGATGAAAAGAGCTAGAAAGCAATATTAAGGATCATATAAAACAGTTAAAAAAACATCTCCATGATTGCATTGGAGTTAAGAAAATTAATAGGAGAAATTTTATTTGATAGTTATGGAGGACGGCGAATGTTACTAAGGGGGACTTTAACATAGGATATGAAAAGGTGTCCTAAAAGGGATCATTGATGATGAATTGAGTATAAAAAGAGACTTCTCAAACGAAGAAGAGGGCAACAAGTAATACCTCTTAACTAAATAGGACGATTGTAATCTCTCCTGGCTAGCTTCAGGGATATTTCTCCAAATAGTGTTTAGTAATAACAATTAGGTTTCTGAAAAAGTCTTAGGGATTTGCACTGAATAAGAAAACTAGGACTTTTTTAGAGTAGTCACAGAATCCCGGTTTATGTTATGCGTCTATGCTTTGTGCAAATGTATTTGATGATACATGATATGCATTTGGTTACCTAGGGTAGTACACCACATGCGTGTATATACACATGAAACGTAATGCATCGTAAATGCATTTAGTGGGTTAATGGATGTTTGTGCCAATGAAATTTGGACTTTGGAGTTTACCTGTCAGACGAGAACTCGATTTTTAAAAATAGGCTACCAGACGGAAAGTGCTGAAAAAGATTAAGTTATCAACGGGAACTGGTTTTGATTTAACTGTCAGACGAGAACTGACTCGAAAACTGAGAATTTCCATATGAGAATTGGACTTTAAAATGAGAACTTTCAGATGAAAATTGGACTTAAAAATGAGAATTTTCAGACGAGAACTAGACTTTAAAAATGAATATCCTACGAAAATTGGTGAAAAGGATTAAGATGTCATATGGGAACTAGATTTGATTTAACTGTCAGATGGGAACTGACTCGAAAATCGAGAATTTCCAGACGGGATCTTGACTTAAAAATGAGATTTTCCATACGGAAAGTATACTAAAAAAATAAGAATTTTTAGACAATAAATGGACTTTAAAATGAGAATTGATAGACGAGAACCGGACTTTGAAAATGAAACAACCAGACAAAAACTGGATTTTAAGTTTGACTACCAGACGAGATTTGGTCTTAAAATGGAGAACATCATATGATTACTAAACTTTGAAATTTGACTAATTCCAAACAAGCATCGAATTTAGAAAGAGGTTTAATGTGCGCCACTCACAATTTGTGTTATGCGTGATATTTGTTTTTATGAAGTATGATAATCGTCTATGCGGTATTGGTTTAAGAAACGGATGAAGTGTGATGATTGATCGATGCATGCAATGTGTTGATTTCGCGCTATGCCACATAAGGTTGAGCTTTTCTGAGGTACCAAACAAGATTGGGATTTTGTGAGGTAGCAAGCAATATTGGGCTTTTGTGAGGTGCCAAGCAAGATTGGACTTTTGTAAAGTGTCAAGTAAGATTGGGCTTTTATTGTTTGATCTTTCATGCTTGTGTTACAATGATTTTTTATGATGTCAGATTCATGCTATGGGAACATGCCAAATGAATGAGATGATGTACATGATATGATGATAAAGTGAAGCAACATGATTAATGCATGATGATGATTTATACAATGACTTAGGGGTTTCCAAAAGCGCTCGCATGTTGGGTAATGGATGAAGGGGTTATTTTGCATCATGTTTTTTGTTGACGGAAAAGGTTATCTGATAGGATATTGTGTCAGCATGACCTATCGACACCCTTT